AAATTAATATTTCAGATATGTAACTCTGAAATTAAGTTAAACTTTTCGCGCTTGTTACACAAACCAATCGATATAGTCTTTTATAATTTTTTTATCTTCACGTTATATTAAAGAAAAATTGTTTTCTATATACATATTTTTAAATTTCTTTTATTTTCTATTGATATTTTGAATCTTTGTATTGCTTGTAAAAATTTTTTTGAAAGGAAACTTTAAATCTTTATGGTACACAAAAAATGGAAAATGCTCATAAAATTAATATTAAAAAATAGATATAGATTTGAAAAGAATATTTTTGACTTGAACTGAAAGTTTAAAATATGAATGTTTCGACGAAGCATTCGTTTCCTGTCACATACATTTTATTTTATCACGTCGTTAGAAATCTATTGAATTTTTCAAAACAAAGGCAACTTTCTCCGCACCAACGGCATGACCTGAATCTGTTTCTCTATGGAGCAATGCAGATTTTGAGGGTGAAATAACCACGAACCAGAATACAAAGCACACACATAGCGAGATATATATGCATTAAACAGTGTTGCCCGTTCTGGATTTAACCCTTTTAAGCTCTGACTTTATAAAAGAAGATAAGCTTCAAATTTTTCTTCTTCAAAGGAATTTAAATATTTCATGAAAAAAAAGTTTTTTTGAATTCTCATTTTTTTAATTGAATACATGATATTGAAAAGTGTTGAGATAAACTAAGCTGGAAAAAAATATTTTTTCTTTAAATGGAAATATATTTTACGTTATTTTTAAATAAATTTTTTACGGAATTTTAAAATAGAATTATTTCTGTTTAGATAGAAATTATAGCATCGAGTAATTACATTTTACTATCGGCGTATTATTTCAGCGAATGGCGTGAATAATGAAATTCTATGGAATTATTATAAGTTACGTGGTTCTTTAATAGATTAATCAATATCTCAATTACTGTTAATGACGTAATAAATAGAGATAATAAAAAGAAGGAAGTTTCGATCTTTATCGTTTATCACACTATCGGAGCTCCAAATTTTACGCCACATGTTTCTTCGTTAGACTAAAGTTTGAATTACAATTTTCAAGTTTCCAAGTAAATGCAGTACATTTACAAGTAATGTATATTTTAATTAGGGACATATTCTCTCTATGAAAATAGGTCTTCCAACTTATTGTTGAGAAAATTCCCATGTGGATTTTCATTGTTATAAGTATACGCTAATCAAACATGTAATAACTAGAGTTTTACTTACTTTGAATAATAAGGGAATGGAAAACAAAATATCAAGAGATGTTCGAGAATGAAGAATTTTGTGTGGTATTTTCTTTTTTAAATTTTCGTTAAATAAATTTTTTTATTAATTTTTTATTTATTTTATAACAGCAAGTTATTTCATGGAGATGATTCGACTTATTGTAATAAGGAATCAATAAAAAATTACCCTTCTTAGGTAATAAACTTATTTTACGGAATTGAAAAATTTTTAGATTTGGCTTCGGCGTCCAAACAGTGGCGCTAGTTGTCTAATCGGACACGGACTAAAGCAGAACTGAGAAACTGTGTCTAAATTTTTATAAAGTTATTATTATTTTTAACCTTTTTAGATAAATTTCTGTTATTGTGATAAATTTTGTTCTTTACTTAAAAAAAGTTTTCAATCATTTAAATGAAAAATATTTGAAAAAAGTCAATGAAATTAAAAATAATTCCTTTCGATTAATTAAAAATGTCATTAAAAGCATAAGAAGCACTGTTTGCTGATTTACTAGCATGGTTTTGTTAAAATTAATTTATTTACCAATTGCTAGGTTAGTAAATGGTAATAAAGATTATTGGACATTGTTAAGAGAATTTTACACTCCATTCAGTTGTAGTTATCTTTCACATCAAATTATTCCTGTTGATAAAATATTAAATTCGAAGGGTTGCAGACAATAACAGACCACCTGCTAGGGTGGTTGCCGAAGAAGGGGATTCGTGTTAATGGGAATTAGCTTACAAGCCTCAGGTACCTATAGGTGAATTTTCAGAAAAGAAGTTTATTATACTATATACAGAAGAAATCTAAACAATAAAACTATTATTTTTTTCCACATTAAATTTTATTACAATTATACGAATTTCCTTTTGATGGTTAAACATTCTTTATTGCGTGTTACTGACCTACAAAAATATAAATTCTTCCGAATATTTGAAATTTGACCCAAAAGATTGCAAAATTGAAGAAAAATTCAGAAAATTGAAAAAAGAGGGATTTTTTTTTAAAGAACTTTTTTTACATTTACATTCTCTTTTTAGGTTGGGGAAATTTTAATGCTCTTCATTTTTACAGCATCACCGAAATTTACATATACGCGAGAAATTTTTGTGTGATCTTTTATCAAATCGATGTTCTCTCTCGCTCTCTAACTTTAAGTCTCCTAGATTCAGTGAAATATATCAAAGGAATAAAAAATGAGCCAGAATTTATAAAACGTCAAAAAAACAGAAAAGTATTCCACCGTTGATTAATATTTTATAAAAGCGTCCGCGGTTTATGTAGAAAATTTACGCTCTGAAGAAAGGTATACCTAAGAAATAAAGAATTTTAGGTTATGTTTGTAATTTTTAAAATAAAACCACTCAAGGAACTCTCAACATAAACAACCGATATTTAACTCTTCAGTACTTCTAAAAATTGTAAAAAATGATTTTAGTTGTATTTAATTAAACAGAAGCTTTTAATTTAGGTGAAAATAACCCTTCTTTCTTCAGAACTCGTCACATTTACTTGTTCTAACAGACTTAATTTTAAAATAGATTTTTCTCTATAATAACAATTAGTTTTGAAATTGAAAATTTAAAGCGAAAATTTACGAAATAAAGAGAAAAAAGAAATAATCCAACAGAGTGGAAATTATAATAATTGAAAAAAGTGAAGAAAATATTTATCTATAAAGAAAAATAAAATTCCATCTCCAATGGACTTAGCTAATGTTAAGAATATGAAAAATGTACAATTCTTTATCAACACTTGCTTCATTAATATACATGAAACATGTGCTTTCATATTTTATACAATATACATAATCGAACACATCAATTTTCCTCACCAGCATCTGTATACATGAGACAGATAATGATTTTTTTTCACACGTTTTTTTTCTTATCATATCTTTTTCAATTGTTCTTTTACATATAAAAAAAATATATACATATATATATATATATGTATATTAAAAAGAAACTGAACACAAAGCTTTGACAATAAAAACAAAGAATCATCAATTTTGAGATTATATCTACTTTAAAATTATGTGTAATTAAAATTAGCTGTAGACTATTATCTGCAAGTGTCATTATACATATATTTTCTTTATTATTAATGACAATTAGATACATAATATTTACATTGCATTTTACTGTTTCTAGATTAACAATTTTTTTATAGTGATCTATATTTTTCTTTTTATTAATTATTTATCATCTATTTAATACTATTATTATTGCTATTAAAAAATAATAAAAATAATAAATAATAAAAATAATAATACTAATAAGAATAATAACTATACACTGTAAAAAAGGGAGTTAAATTTTAACTCCCCAGGGGATTCTATAAAAGTCGCACCCAATGGGGAGTTAATGCCAGGGGAGTTAAATAAAGAGAGTTAAAATTTAACACCCAAATGCTAACTCCCCAAGGAAAAAATAACTAGCGCGGGTGTTGAATGAAGGGAGTTAGAAATTAACTCTCTTTTGGAGTTGATTTTTAACTCGAAAAATTTAACTCCCGAGTCCGTTAACTCCCTAAATTTTTTACAGTGTAATTGAATGGTGAATTTTGAAATGGGTGTAACTCTAAAAACCGTAAGGGTCATTTTCACGTAACAGTGATAGGGACAATGACCCTAATGGTTTTCATAGTTAAGCTCTTTTCAAAATTCACGATTCAATTAAAATATATTTTTTAAATTATATGCGCAATTACATGGAATTGGAAATACATTAACTCTTAAGAAATAAATATAAAGTTAAACTTACAATTCAATTCGTTTTTTTCACTTCCGTAAACATTATTTAGGATTAATTCAAAGTATTGAAATAGAAAGAAAATTTCCAATTCTTCGGAATAATGAATTTCCATTAGCAATGGAGGAAAGAATTGCTTTTAATGTAATTGTATATTTAAAGATAGAGAGAAGTGAGTCGAAAACCAGTTTTTTTTGTCGAACTACGAAAATCCATTTGAAGAAATTAGTAATTTGTTGCGGCTAAAAAAACACAATCGTTTCGAAAGAACACGTGGGTTAGTGAGGGATTTTTTTCCTTTCATTTCCTACCTCACTCATTCTATAAAAATAAAAGTTCAACTCAATTAAATTTTTTTCTTTTTTTGAAGGCAAAAACTATATATTCTTAATATACAAGTGACCCGAGCTATAATATTATAAACTATTAAGCTTTATTCTAAAAGTGTATTTTTCAGGCGAATTAAAACTTTTCCTATGTCAGTGACTTTGAGTTTAATAAATGTTACTGATAAAAAAAATGTTCTGTACACTTGTTTGTCAAAAGCACACGTAGTATATAAAGTCATACGTCAATACTTTAGTTTTTTCGATATGTAAACAAGAAATTTGACAGTTGGTGTTTTTTTTATTTACTTGATTAAGAATCAGCCAATGATTAAACCAATAATTAAGAAGATAAATTTCCTCTTGCTAGATATTAATTGAATTGGATGTTAAATAGCATTTGCATGTATACAATTCAGAATGACGGAATTCATGATATGAACCTTGTGGAATATTAACTAACTTTGACAGTTATTAAGTAACTCCCGTTGAAATAATTAACGTCAGATGTGCTCTAAAAGTGATAAACTCGTTGCATTGAATCTTAGGTTTTGTAGTCGATACGTTGTTTTTTTACATTACAAAGAAGAAGAAAAAGTATCCAAAATTAATCTTTTAAGATTCGGATGTTGTTCTTCTTCTTCTTTATGGAAAAGGAATGAGCAACTACTTACCTGTAATGTTTTCAAATTCCCACCACCTAGTGATCGTCGATGATTGATGACAATAATCGCGTCGACGACCCGCTTTTAAATCGCTTCTTATCTTCTACGTCCAAATTGTCCAACGGAAGAACCGGGCAATGGACGACGAATTTATAGAGAAACGTCAAACACGAGCGTCGACAAGACCTGCTTTGTCACCTAACGAAGACACACTTTATACTCGGACAACTCGACCTCGATTGCACGTTCCGTTTCATTCGTGACGATCGCCTTTTTTACAACACAAACTGTTTCATTCAATGTTTAATAATGTGTGGGGGAAAAATATTATCTTCCTTTCCCTTCTTTCTTTTTGAACAATAGCGCACAACCGAGTTTAATCGCGCCTTATCGTATGAATTTTGATACACAATGATCCAATGTGGATTTTTAATAGGAGGACCTGCGCTCGCTCGCGACGAGGAATGCGATTGTCGTTATAGCGCACATCGCTCACTTGCCAGGATCTCAGATCACAGCGACGTCATTAGCTGGAAGTAAACTCTATAATGTTGTTCTACATTTTCAGGTCTATCGATTGCGGCCCTCTGGCGCCACGGAATTATCTTTTAGAATTGTAGGAAACTATATTTGGAGAGAGACTTCTGTTGGTAAGGAAGACTTTCCTTTTGATGTTTAGCTGACGGCTGGTGATAATTATCTTCTTTTTGGATTTTTCATCTGGTAATGAAGAATTTTCAACAGATGTTTCAATGCTGTACTGAATAGATGCCACTACTCTTTTATAGAGATAATTTCTTTTGTTGTAGATCCTACCATAACAGCATTCGGATGTTCAAGATAATTTGTATATCTTCTTCTCTTCTCTGGTATTCTCTAATCTTCTCAATAGTCTTTTCTTTAAAGATGTCTACACGAAAGATGATCAACATATTAACAGAATCTGACAAAAATGATTATTTCCTAACGACATCAATTTCAGTTGTCCATACTAGACATCTATATGCTATATCCTAATTTTGAGTAGACGGATATAAATACTTAGGATATTAAGAAGTGAATTTTGTGAAAGAACAGTAAATATTTTTTGTATTTATTTATTGTATTTAATTTATTTATTATTTTGTATGAACCATTTGAATCAACACATGCCCGCGTGAAAATGGGAAACCATGGGAAATTGCAAAAATCGAAGAATGGGCTAGAAAAGTATGGGCTATGATCGAATCTCATACATTGTAATAACATTGATATCAAACAATGGGTCTAGACTAAGAAAGTATGAGCAACGACTACAATTGAGGGCGTGGAACGGATAACTGCCTGCAACCAGGGTTGGGCGCGTAAAATACCTTAGGTAAATTACATGGATTTTTACAGTAAAATACCGCGTATTTTACTTCAAAAGTTTTATACGCAATGTATTTTTTGGGGGAGGGGGGTAAAATACGTATGTTACCTATGTAAAAAACCAAGTATTTTACGTCAAAAACCTCGAGTGACGCGTCACTTTCCAACACTGCCTGCAACGCATGGTCGAAAGGGATAAATGACTATACCAGTCAGACAATCGTGAGCGCCTCTAGGCCTCTCACTGATGTCTGACTGGCATAGTCCCTTTCGACCATGCGTTGCAGGCAGTTATCCGTTCCACGCCCTAAATTGATTTTTTTCATTTTGCAAAGCATGGGAAAAGTCTGACAAAAGTATGGCAGAAGGCTGGAATCAATTTTTCTGATATTTTTCAGTTTTTTAACAATTTTTTTTTCAAAGTATAAGAAAAGTCTTGAAAAGTATAAGAGAAGGCGGGAATCAATTTTTGGAAAGTCTATTTCCATACTCTTCAAGACTCTTCCCATAGATTGAAAAATAAAAAAAATTTGATGAAAAAACTATAAATTTCAAAAAAATGATTGATTCCAATTTCTAAGTAATAAGTTTGATTATACATTTAAGGCGATACCCGGTATAACATTTCTATATTTTTTACCATGACCAAAATCTATAAAACCGTGGACAACAATAAAAATATTTAAAAACGTGAAAATTTATTTATTTTAATTGCGTGATCAAAATCTAGCAAACCATGGTCAACGACAAAAATATACAAAATAAAATTTGTATATGTCTACTATGGTTAAAATCTAGGTAATTCTAGTCAACGATAAAAATATTTTTAACCCTTAAAATATCCATATTTTTACTATGTCCAAAATCAAGCAAACCATGGCCAAAGACAAAAATATTTAAAACCCTTAAAATTTTTATATTTTCGATTATTGTTACAAATGTAACCGGAAAAATAAATTTGACTTGAAGACAGAAACAGAGAGCAACATAAATACAAAATAAAAGGAAGAATTATACGAACACATCACATATATTTTCTAAATTTATATTTACTTTTTTACATTGAATTATTCATATCAATCATATTATATTAAACTATCCAAATCTTGCGCGTAGCAATTGTCTCAAAAATCATTCGCCTCTTTTCGAACATTCTCGCAAAACCCGATTTCGTTATCGCTCCCACTATATGTACTCGCTCACTAGTTCTCTCAACAATCAAGGTCATAATCTAGCAAACCACGACCAACGACAAAAATTTATTATACTCTCTAAATCTGAATATGTGAAAATTCACATATTTGTACGTTATAAGTCGTCTTCTCGATCAATAAGTGCATATACACTTATAATAAGTGAAATTTCACTCAGAATAAGTGAAAAATTCACTTATTTATAAGTGTATATGCACTTATTGATCGAGAGGACGACTTATAACGTACAATAAGTGAAATTTCACATATTCAGATTTAGAGAGTACAGTCAAAATATCCACATTTTGACTGTAGTAAAAATCCTGTGAACTATGGCCATAGGCAAAAATAGTTTAAAAACTTGAAATTTTATTTATATTTTGACTATTGTCAAAATCTGGTTAACCATGGCCAATGACAAAAATATGTTGAACACAGAATATTTTTTTACTATATGGTCTTACAATGGCCAACCATTCAAACCATTGCCAACGACGCACAGTGAGATAGATAGCAAATCTAGGTGGACAAAATTAATTATTTAGTGGTTTTTGAATAGATTCTTATAAAACTTCATAACTACACTGTAAAAACAAGTGTCTTAATGTAAGACGTTTTGTCCCCACTTTTAAAACATTTGAGGTGCTTTATCTCAAAATTATTAAGGTAAAACACCTCAAATGTTTCAAAAGTGGGGACAGAAACGTCTTACATTGAGACACTGTTTTTACAGTGTAAGAATTTTTGAGGTCGCTGATTACTAATCTGATGTTAGTTTTTCAAAATTCAAAATGGCGAATCTAATATGGCGGATGAATTTTTTAAAAACATAATGGATTTTCTTGAAACTGGGCACTTATAGGTTTTTGAGGTCGCTGATTACAAATGTGAAGTTAGTTTTTCAAAATTCAAAATGGCGAATGAACTTTGAGAAATATGATAGATTTTCTTCAAATTTGGTATCTAAAGGTTTTCGATGTAGTAGATAACGAATTTGAAGTTAGTTTTTACATTTTTAAAATGTCGAATTCAATATGAGAAAAAAATTTTAAAAAGCATGACTGTTAGTCCGATTCATTATAATAAACTAGCGTCATATTCCACGCTCGCTCGGAAGACATTTTACTTACTTATTTCCACTTACCTACATTTTTTATTATTATACATTACACAGCCACACAAAATAAAAAAAGTGTCGGGGCCGGTTGGAAGATCAGAGTACCCTATCCCCATGTATTTTGGACCGCTAAACACGAATCCGATGTCCGTTTTGGTCTAGCACGTATACGTTTTTTCCTAACCTCAAAAAACATGTCAAATTTTTTGTGGTATACAAATTTTTTTAAAAATTGATGGATTTTGATAAAATTTGGTACCTACACGGAGAAAAATGGAAAAATGATTTATGCAGTCAGTGTAGTACTCCTTTATAGAATAATATGTGACAGGTACACACTATAGTATTAGAAGTTTCATAGCTGAACACTTTGGGACTCAACACAAGTTATCCCATTCATCAACTTAAACAAGACTGTTTATATAGTCTAAGAGGGAATAAGAGTATAAAAAATTGGAATGAGAAATTACTTTCTCATGTAATTGTTAAAAGAACGCGGCAGTGTACAAAACACAAGTCAATAATAGAAGCGAATATTGAACAACTAGTACTCAGTCCAGTTCTTTCGAAAAATGAACGCCGTGCACATAAAGTAGATACCTACTCGAAAGCCACAAGTTATTCTCTCTCCCTCTCTCTCACTAATGGTCATTCACTTATCTTACCGTTTCACTTACTCTTACTACTCTAAACTATTATGCAGTGCAGTTAAGTTAATTAAATTATTAAATATTGCTGTGAGAATAATTAATTATACATTTCATTCAAGGTCAATTCACTATTTTGTACACGAAAAAAAAGAATAATAAAACTTACCATGAGGAGTGTCAAACTTGAAACAGGGTAGGAAAAAATTAATGTTTTTTATTTATTTATTATTAAATTCTAATAACCGTATCAAATTTAAACTAGTTGACAATATTATTAATTCAATATTATGAATATTGTTGACATCCATACTTACATTAATTACAAAGTAAAATCCACGCATGATCTAATTTATTTCATTGGTAAGGGATGTTTCTTAAATAGGAAATTTCCCCCATCGATTGCGTAGCCGAGAGGCTTAATGTGCGATTTATAATTATGCGTATATTTAGTTGTATGGTTAGGTAGGTGTTCAATCCCGTATGTTTGTAAGATTTTCCGATGCATTTAGTTGTTAATTGTAAGTATGAAGATGTGGGAAGAATAAAACTTGTGAATTAATGAATACACTGCAAAAAGAAGTATCTTATTTAAGATGTTTTGGTAGTCATTTCTAAGATGTTTTGGTAGTCATTTTTAAGTTATTTGAAATATCTTAATTTAAGATGTTTAAAGTATCTTCGTACACATTTTCTTCATATTTTTTGGGGAAAAAGTTTTGAGGTTAACTATGGGCTTATATGTAAGACATTTTATGCATCTTAGTTTTTAGTAACTTAAATTTTTTTCGCATCTTACAATTCACAAGTATCTTATCGCTAAACATCTTATTGAGACAGAAACATCTTAATTTAAGATACTTTAAAAAACTTACAGAAGTATCTTACTTTTTTAAGACAGAAGAAATATCTAAGACGTATAAAACATCTTAAAAATCAGTAAGATACTTTAGAAAACATCTTATTTTAAGATGTAAGATACCATTTTTCTATCTTACATCTTATTTTAAGATATCAAATAAGACACCTATTTTTGCAGTGTATGAATATATAAAGAGTGCATTTAACATATTTTTCTTTTTTTTAATGATTCGTTATTGTTTCTTTTTATATAAAATTGACGAAGTTAATAAAAGGAAACACTCGTTTCGCGTAGCGTCAGTCATTTATTTTGACAGGTTCCGCGCCTGCGTTCCCTTCCCAGGCGGAAATTTC